AGGCCTCTCCACTACCAGCATGGGAAGACTCGCCCGTTGAGCGAGCGGTAGAAACCGGAGTCTCAAGTTGAGGAATAACCCCCGCGCACACGGCTCCGGCCACGGGTGCAGATTGGGTAGTGGCCCTCGGCGCAGGTCGGGCAGGGGGTGCCAGTCAACGGAATGCGAGAGGAGGAGCCCTCGTCCTTCGCGCTCTCCCTGCCAACAAAGAAAGACGATCATATAACGACAAGATCGAACCATAAGGCAAAGAAAGCGGGCTGACTCACCAGTGAGAGGCTTACGCTCATATTTCTCGTAGAAGGATGCCCACTCACGAATACCCATTGTATGGGGAAGAGTTGTGTTCACCCACTCACGGATGTCGTCAACTGGCGGGGGAGGTAATCTCTCGGCTGCAAAAACGAAAACAAATCCTTAGCAATATCACCTGGAGAAGAACAATCGATGACCGCCTTGAGAGGAATCGCAAAATAAACAAAGGAAAACTTACGAGAGAAGTTCCACGTCTCAGCAAACCCTGCCGAGTCCGCTACAAGGTGCTCTATCCGCACATAAAAATAGCTTTCCCAGAAGCGGCGATTTGCCTTATCGTCCATCTTCACCACCAAACTCTTGGTTCCTCGATGGCGCACGTGGATCATCGTGCCCCGAAGAAATTAAGGAGCAAAAATATGAAGCATGTGTCCCAAAGTAATCCCTCGACCGGCGAGCTCCGTATACTTGATGAGCATGAGGAAGAGCTTGTATGCGTACGGTGAGAGCTGAGCCGGGCACACTTCGTAGAAGCGGTAGAAGTCTACCACTAGAGAGGGGAGAGGAAGCATATATCCGACAATAAAAGGATACAATATCCGTCCCCGCCGCCGGTACCATTTCGATATGATTTGGAATTCCCCACTTAGCCTTGAGCGCCGTAATCGCCGCTTCATCTATGGTGGAAGGGACAGGTTCCGGTTCGTCTTTGGCAGGGCTGTTAAAGTCAGTCCATAATTTCCCCGGACGAGGTAGTATCTCCGCCACTGTCGGAAATCCTTCATCTTCCGTCACCTCCATTCCCTCTCCAAGAAGGGGCGCATCATTCTCCGGCGCCGGAGCTTCGACGAATCCGTCAGTCTGGGAAGAAGTACCAGCCATTTGTCTGGCTCGATCAGAATAAACATGAGTGATGAAGAAATAGAGAGGGTGATCACGTCAAATTCTGACAAAAGCAGAAGTGTGAAATACTGAAGAAGATGGAAGTTTGCAAAATTTCTCAGGTAAGTCGACAAGCGTAACAACCGAATGGTGGTTTCCCCTATTTATAGGAACATAAACGCCCTGAGAGGGAAACCCAAGAGCCGCCAAAAAGCTGAAAGGGCATAGGAAACGATACGGTGCCTGAGAAACGTGCATCATAATGACGCATAACAGGCATTCATGGCACCCTGAATCGACGTGACGATCCATCTCCGAACTGACGTAACGGTCCGATAAACTCCTTAAAACATCACGTCGCCACCTCGCCATGAGGACCCCGTCCTCGCATAATGACCAGATTTCTCCTAATTCTTGAATCCACAGGGTTCGCCCATTGAACTCGCCAAAAGACGACCCTAACGGGCGGAGGGACTAACTGTATGGGTCAAAATCTGGCCATCGGATGGTTATCGATAAAGGGGACGGTAAGAGGTCGTGCCCACGAGGCGTAATGAGTACCACGGTCGCTGCCGAGATCAAGCCGTTAGAAAGCTTACATCGCAGAACAAGTGTAATGTTTGGGCAAGTAATGAAGGACCCAGTCATGAGAAGGCATGCCAGTTAAAGACCGTTGGATAAAAGGGAAAAATTGTTAGTATATATGGGAAGGCAGGAGACCATTACGGAGGGGCTCTGGACCCAGATCTGGCTACAACATTTATATCATCGTCACAGAACCAACAAGGGAGGATCTCTTAGTTGTCAACAGCTTTCTCTCTTCTCCTTCTGTGCTCTTACGAGTATAGTGCAAACATGTCATAGATGTAAGCCTATCATTTATATTTGATGTATGATAATCATCTTAAGAAATACTAAATCAGCTTGTTCTTCTCCAATTTTTGTACTCAATATATTTTGATCTAGAGTTAATTATGTTTGACTAAAATTTACCTTTTATCTCTCTATTAATTAGTTTAACTAAAGGGTTTTACAATTTTTTGGTTAAACAATATCAAGGTTCAGTTAACATACTATTTTTTATCAAGAAAAGACGAAGAGATGTATGAGAGGAGCCGACAACAGAATTGTAACGGGACCCTAATACTTTGAAATTAGTGGAAGGAGATGTCACGATAGTGAATATAATTATATGTGATGGGGACACTTTGGTTTGGCCCCCCACGTCCATTGCATTTAATGAACGGCCAAATTCTCAATCTTTGTCGCTCTCAAAAAATCTCAGTGTGGAACGGTTTCTAAGAGTGTATTCCACGCATTTTGTCTAAGGCATAATGATTATCTTTAACCCTTTCTTCAGTTTGTAGGACCAAATGTAGAAAAGCTAAGACGAGCCTTTAGTCAAAGTTTATTTGGAGCCACTGTTACTTGATTTTGAAAACTATACATGTTCTCCACTTGGAAGGACGGACTAACATTAGTAATTTTATTTTATTAGTATTTTGGTGACGGTTGGTGGGGTTGGTTGGTGTGAGGGGGGAGGGGAGGGGAAGGAAAGGAAAAGTCTTAGTGAAGATCGAACCTAGGGGTGTACAAAGAAAATCGACAAATCGCACCAACGCGATAATTTAAGTCAAACCGAGAAAAAAAAAATTGATTATGGCTTGGTTTGATTTGGTTTGGTATTGGAGGAAAAAACCCGACCATAATTGGTTTGGTTTGATTTTAACTAAAGAAAGTCAAACCGAAACCAAACCAACCCGACATTACATATATAGAAATTTTAGATATATTTAATATATAAATATACTTATTGTGGTGTAATTTATAAATATTTCTTAAACTTTTTCATAATTTTATCTTTTAAGGTATTATTTCAAGGTTGGACTTAGAACTTCTGAATGTTCCTATTAGTTTTATAGCTATTAATATTAGTAACTTAAATAATGCTAACAAAAGCCCAAACCAAAATCAAATCAATACTAATACTAACAAAAGATATTCAATTCCATACTACGAGCGGCAATGTATTGAATATCTATTTTTAGTTTTGCAATAATTTAGATAAAAATGCATAATCTATTTTTATTTTTTCTTTAGCGTTTAGTCATGTAATTAGTACTCCCTTATTAGTCTACTTATTTTAGCATGACTTAGTACTTTTAGATTATGTTTATTTTTATGAAAGAATTACAAGAAAATACACATGACTTCACACCATAACAAAAAATGGCCCATGTTTTTAAGCCTTACCCGACCTAGCCCATATTGTACATATTTTGAAAATACTAGCTCTTGCAAATTCAAAATCTTTGTTCTTACAACCATTGCTTCTAAAAGCTATGGAGTTAAATCTGTGTTCTCACAACCATTGCTTTCACTCTCTCTTCTTCTAACATCTTTTACATACGCTTCCAGGGACCGTCCGCCATTACTGCTTCTCCTCCTATGTCACCTGGTTGCAATGTAAAAAAGTTGAAGAGTAGAAGTCCACCATTGAAGGCCATTCAAAGCTTTGCTTTAGAAAATAGAATTTTTTGAGTTTGTTAGTTGTTTGGTTTGGGTGTTGTTCCAATTGATTGAAAATACAAAAAGAGTTCAAAGTTTAAATTTGAAGTGATTTGGAGTATATTTGAGCAAGATTTGAGTTAAATTTCAAAAAAGACGCAAGGAAGAAGATGAAGTCAGTTTTTTGTATAATTATATATAATCTTGTATAATAGTGTATATGAGTGTATAAACACATCTTATACACTATTATATACTTTTATACACCTTTATACAAACGTCTGTAGACGAACTTCTTCCACGATTTTCAGTTGCAATTCTTGTTCAAAACCAGTCCAAATCTCCATTAAATTACTTCAAATCTTATATACAACCTCCTTATACTATTTCTAACAAGTCTAAATAACACCCACTCTAAATTTCTCACAAAATCAAATTCGGAATTTAAACTCACATATTTAAGCTTGTTAAAAATCTAATATTCGCCACCCAAATGGATTTGGCTTGTTGAACTAATATTTGAGTCACAGTTACTAATTCGAAAATTAACTTAAAAGCTTGATCAATCTTTTTAAAAAATTAAATAGTAATTTTGAGAACCTATTGGAGTTGGATGTTGAATCTTAGCCTATTATTTTTTGGCTAGTTGGTTGTAAATTGAAATATGTGCTATAAAATTGAAAAGTGGGGAGCCCAGTTGTTCTTATGTGAAATTTTTCCTATTTTTATTATGGCTTTTTAATTAGAAATATTTATATTGCATAATTTTATTGTCTTCATTGTTGAATATTTTAGGATAACGCCATGACACATCTCATATTTTGTATTATTTTCTTGAAAAATACTTTATATAGTAGTATCTTACTAGGATTAAAGAAATATTTTGAGCACAAGTTATATGTTTTGTGCTAAGAGTACTTTACCCAAAAAAAACCGAAAAATCGAATAATCCGAAAACCCGAGAAAAATCAAGATTGAAAAACCCGAGTTTTATTGGTTTGGTTTGGTCTCTAAATTTAATAACCCGACACAATTGGTTTGATTTGGTAATTGCAAAATCCGAACTAACCCGACATATGTACACCCCTACCTCAAGGATTGATGTGAGATAACAACTCTAGTAATAAACTGTTAACTTAATTTCATGTAGCAACCATTTTTAATTTTTGTATTATAGTTATATGAATTTAACCTGTTTACTGGTGACAGTTTACTTGGTCAAATGCATATTGAAGATCCAAAGGATCTTCTTTTGCACAGGTATTTGTACTTTGTTAAGTCATATATCATAAGTCAATTGGGCATATAGAGTTCTGCTCTCTGTGTAAATGCACTAATTTGCTGCTATTCAGACGTTTTCTTATATATCATGCTTTCTATTATGAATTTGAACTCGTAAGTTCAGCTATTAATCCAATTTCGCCTGAATAAACATTGTAACGATTCCTTGTATATCGTATGTGCTATCATTATCATGATAGTACATTTTCATAAAGTTGTTCCATTCAGTGGTAACAATCCCAGTTTCTGGTTTTAACCCGTACTGAAAACTCCATCAGAAAAGCAACCAACATGTTTCAGCAACTTGCTGTATTTATACACTTCTTAATTAGCAATGTTTCAATCCCTGCGAGATATATTATCAGCAGAAGAGACTGGCGAGACTGCATCAAGATAAAAAGCAAAGTTATTTGAAAGATGGAGCTAGACTTTCAATTCAAGTTACATGAAAGTGATCACAGATTGACATCGGTTCAGATTTCCAGCTTCATGATATTTATCTCTGTATAACTAGAGATTGTCTCATCTTACGTATCAAAAAGGAAATATAACAAACGATAGTATCATCTTACATGAGTTATACTTGAAACTATCACATGTCAGAACCCTTATCAACATTGGTATATAAAATATATACTGTAATAATTTTTTCAACACATTTGACGTCTGTGAGAAAGGAACGGATTCTTTTATCTGTAGAGAGTGAAAAGTGCAGCATTTCACAGTAATATGATCTACCATTAACTGTGGATCAATGGCAGCATTACTGGAGATGGGAAAGCCAAGTGTTTTTTTATTTTTTATTGTTAATGCGAGCATTCAAATAATAAATCAGTCAGACTTTTGCATACCTGTCTAGTTGCTCCTTTGTAGTTGCTAGTTCTTGATGTGGACTATGCTAAACCTGCATTGTGATCCATGATACTGGAACAGGATCATTCTCATCTCAAGCCTTTACTACACTTACTCTAACAAATAGCACTTCGATTTTAGTAAAGCATATAATAATATAATCTCTGGTAGTACTTAGTAGACATGATCACAAAATGAATGAATTCAAAGAGGAAACAAGGGAAAATTAAGATTAGGGTAGAAAAGTTTCGGGCAAAACCAAAGCAAACATATCTTATGAACTCAAGCTAATTATCTCAAGTACAGGAACGATGACAATGCCAAGAATCATTTATCTAACAATCATATGAGATAGTAACTGATTTTACCTCTCTGCAAGTCATAAATGTTTTCTCTGCTACAATAACAACAACAACAACCCCAGTAAAATCCTAGTAGTGGGGTCTGGGGAGGGAAGGGTAGTGTGTACGCATACCTTACCCCTACCCGAAGGAGTAGAGAGGTTGTTTCCGAAAGACCCTCGGCTCTTGAAGACAAAAAGAATCATAGAATAGAGTCATAACATTTGAAGGATTTCACAAAACTGTCTCTGTAATTCAATCAACGAAAGTCCAGTTACTTGACATACTAGACACAATTTGCTTTTCTTTCAACTAGTAACACTGTTAGTAGTGAATCTCCTATGATCCTATCCATCTTAGTGCCAAAAAGACATGTTATCTAAACCTTATGGTTAGCTTCTCGTTCGTTCTAAATTTTATGCCTGACAGGGTACATTAATCCTGGTCTTGGAAGCCTTCCATACCTGTTGTGAAAAGTAAAACTAAATGAAAATCCACAAGATAGCAACTGCATAAGCGCAGAGAAGTGAGAACACTCCCTGACACTCAACCACCCAAAAATGTAAGTAAAAATTAGTGTTTACTAATCAACCAACCATTCTTATCCATTGACTCTAGAGAATCTATAATGCTACCAATTCATGATACAAGCTTATCATCCAAAAAGTGGTTCCTAATTGCATAGAGCAACTTGGTTATTGCAATCCTCATCGAACATGCTAGAAACTGAAAGGTTGGTTGTCACAAAGTGGAGTTGCCACAGTTGAAGAGGTCAATCCTCAAATATCATCAGATTGATGTATGCCAAAAGATGACAAAGTTGCAGTCACACTTTATCCCCGTAAAGCATAAGCATCACACATTCTGTTGGGTAGTATGCATGCTTATCTGGGGTCTAGTTCTGATCAAAGAACCCATAGAAAATTTGATTAAGTATGAAGGGTAGTTGCTCAAATCAGCTTATTTCTCAAGAATGCTCATTAATTTATCCAATGCAGGGGTGAAAACAGTAAAAATATTCCTGATCAAAGAAACCAGTTAAAATATTTTGGGAGCAAAGAAGATAAGGAGGACTACAGAGGAGATAAGAGATAACCTTCATAAAGGAAGCAACATGAATTGTCTGTTGACAGAGGAACAAATCAATCAGCAAGACACTAAATCCAGAATGCTGAATATCAATAAGTCTAAGCTTCATTTTGTGCGCGGCTACAGGACTTCCCAACAAAGTTACTGATATGCACAATCCTCTTAACCTTGGCTACAGCCAATAATTGAGAAGTCGCATTATCTATGTTGGCAATAGAAGTAAAGGTTTTTATGAGGTTCTGAAGTCACAGAGATTGAGGAAGGGCGTCCTTAGAATTCAAGGAAATACATTCTGCAACAATATCTCAAAAGCAGCAAGAAATCAAAGGCCACCTTGAACAGGAGACTAATCTACAAAGTAAAAACCACAGCTACGAACAGTAGTAGCTCATCGTTGATCCTCCAAAATTACAGCATCACTCGCCGAGTAAACATGAAAAATCTGGTTAACGAAATCTATTTAAAAAATTCAATCTCTTACAAATGAGTTACTTCATTTTATGCCATTCTTTTTATCAGGTTGACCCTTTGGCCAACCCCCAGCATACATGCAACACTGCATTTAAATTTATAAATCTAAGAGGTATGATACTTTTTCAACATCATTGAAGCCCCGTGGTCAATATAATTTTAATGTTACAGAATGCAATATATCTAGGTATAAACAGTCTGAAAAACCACAAGAAGATCACTATGACAGAGGACTTATAGAACTATGAAATCAAATTGATTGTCATTTCGGCCAAAATAAATGCATTATCTGGTATTAGTAACATACAAAACCACGATGAATCAGCTACTGTTTCCACATTCAGCTCTTTTTTTCCACCATAATTAGACTCAAGTTAATTGGGGCAAGTGCACAGATAGCCATTCTCGGTGATGCTATTTAGAGATTAGCTAGTATTTATTTTGTCCTAAAACTTTAAACTAAAAATCTTAACTTCAGTATAATTCATGACATTTTTATCCTGAAAAATTGAACTGAAGCACTGGCTAATTTCTAAATAGCAGCCCTTTGGAGTGGCTACTTGGTGTCCTTTCTACAAGTTAATTGTCGATTCTATTGCCACAACATGAATTAGGGCATGAAGATCCTTTCATTCTTTTCTTTCTGATAGATGTGAGATCTTCATCTGAATTTGAATCCTACTAAGAGGTCCACTAGAGAACACAAATAGTTAAAGAACAACAAGCTCGTAATATAGAAAAACAAACTTTACGTTTTCAAATTTCTCACGATTTACAAAACCATGCCAGACATTACCACACGACCGCACAATTATTTACAAGCAAAAAAAAGCACAGAAAAAAAAAATTTATTCTTTTTTCATCTTTTCAGGTGTAGCAAAACCATAAGTAAATCAAGAAGAAGGAAGCTTAATGGTGATGGAAGAAGAGTGATCGTGAGAGAGGGGTTTGTTGAGCATAAGAGGGCGATCCTTGGCCTCATCCTCGTCATCATATTCATCGCCGTCGTCGTGAGCGGTGCTAAGGTGGATGCAGGAGCAGCGTTCAAGGGAGGCGAAGAACGCCGACGCCACGCTTGTCCCCACCCAATTAGCCATTCGATCCAACTTGTCGATGGACATGAACCCAGAATTCTGCTCCAAGGATTGATTCTGCGACATTTGTGTTGGCTTTTTTGTATCTGTAATCTGTAGCTGTTATAATGCTACAAATTGAGGGACTTTAGAGTCTCAATTGAGTACCCAAGGAAGAAGAGTAAAAGAGAGAATACGTGTCGCTGTGGTTGCTGCCGCCTGCCTGATAGAGGACGTTTTCTCGTGGACGATGACGGCGTGACGCTTTAAAATTACTACAAATGTCAAAAGTCAAGATGATATAACTGGACTTTACATTAACTACGGAGAAGGAAATTTGCCTATGAACAATATGGGAAATTGTCTAAAATATACCTCCATTAATAGCTGAGCCAAGTGTGCCTTTCAAGTTACAAAAGTAATAGCACGTAGAGCATTAGTTGGATCTAAGTAACATAAAAAAAAATTGATTAGTACCTAAGGCTGCCACGTGTTACCACGTAACTAGTTACTAGTTTATGTGCCTCGCACGTGTGACCCCAAAACTATTGCAAAAATTATATAGGAAAAAAATACTAAAAAAATATTCTTTGTAAGAAGCTGCAGCTAAAGCTGATATCAGTTTTCAGTACAAAATATTTTATTAAGTTTCCTATAAAACTACTATATTGTTGATTGTACTAACAAATTTTTGGTGTATATTCTGTCAGAATATTTTCTCAAATTAATTATAGTTAAGTGAATTGTAGTTATGTCGTAAATTACATTAATATGTGTGAGTATATATAGACAATACTCTCGTTGCCTGAATAATTTATTGATTGTAGTTGTTGGATTCTAAAGACAACTCAAGGTCACGTCCATCTCGTATGCATCATTTTTATCTCGGAAATATCCTCTTGTGAAAAAGAGTTAGTCCTTTTTTATTTTCTAATTGAGCTTTTCTATAGTTTGTACAAATAGTGCATCCTCACAACGTTGCTAATAAGTGCGGGTAAATTATGGAGTCAATATTTTGTAATTATTTTGGCGGCTTCTTCCCTTTCTTTGTATGGGTATTCATTCTTAAATGTGTTATTACGTCATTTAAAATAAAGTAATAACAATAAAATTCGAAAGATCTTCTACTTTTCCTTGACACTGAAACAATTCACTCTTGATGTCACGACCCAATTCCATAAGGTCATGATGGCGTCCAACACCATTGTTGGGCAAGTCAACGCGGAAAATACTAGCTAAACTTTCGGTCACCATTATCCCAAAATAGTTGAAGATAATTCTTTAAGTTGGAATAATTCAGAAACGATGAGTAAAAGAAAATCATGATAATCATACAACCCCAAAATAATACAGTCTACTAATGTGTGTGCCAAGACCTGGTGTCACGAGCATGGGCAACTAGTAGAATATACAAAAGAATCACACTATCCTACTGTCCGAAACGGAATAGACAGCAAAAAAATACAAAAGAAAGACTTCTTCAGGCTGCTGAACGGCATGGAGGAGAAGCAGCTCACTGTAGAAGTCTCGAATCCGCTCAGAGATGCGCACCCGACTGATAGCCAGATGTACCTGCCTTAGACCCTGTACAATTAAGTACAGAAGTGTAGTATGAGTACATAAACAATATGTACCCAGTGAGTATCCCATCTAATCTCGAAGAAGTAGAGACGAGAGGTCGACTTGATACTCACTAGGGTCAAATAATGTGAGGAAAATTTATAACAAGCATGGATAGTACAAGTTATTAGCATTTAATAATCATGGATTAACAGTTCTTTCCCAAGTATTATCATGGATATTCACCTATATCTCAAGCAGATATTAAATTCAGTTCTCAGCGAAAAATGCTAAGCAAAACATGCGCAAGTAACACCGTGGGACGTACGGCCCGATCCAACATAAAAGTCAATTGGGCACTGACGAGGGTCGAACGGCTCGAACCATAGATACATCTATTACCCCGCTCGCGAATCACCCGTGCGACGCGGTCAAATATAAATAAGCGCGTCAACAAGCAACGATAATATATATCTGAGGAGTAGCTACACGTAGGAATACCAAATATTCTCTTCTAAAAGACCAAACAGGATAAGGTTCATTCACTAATCTCATTCTTCTTAATCAAATAGTTATACGAATCCGAATTTATCATCACATTACGAGAATATCACGTAGAGCATGCTTATGGGTTCTAGACTATCCGAACTTAACATAATAGTCGCTACGCACGGACTCTCGTCACCTAGTGCGTACGTAGCCCCCACAAATATTTGTAATTAATTCAATTATTATACCTATGGGGACAATTCCCTCTTACAAGGTTAGAAAGGAGACTCACCTCACTCCAAAGTGCACTTCCAATGCCAAGAACAAGTCCAAGCCCTCAATTCGGAGCCGAAAGATTGAATTCTAGCTACTTAAGCAATTTTCCAACCATTAACGCAAGTTTTCCTAAAATCCGACCCCAGGCCCACGTGCCCGGATTCCGAAATTTTTTGAATGAAGTTGTTCTCTACAACCTAAGGATCACTAATATATGGCTTTTAATTAATTCCATAACAAAGTGGTTAAATCCAAGTTTTATTAAAACCCTAGGTTTAGCTCTAGCCCTTTGATTTTTCCTAAGTTCTAGTGTTTAATCTACCTAAAATACAAGTATTAAACTAAGGATGGATGGAATAAACTTACCTCTTGATGCTAAGTGGAAACCTTCTCTTCAAAGCTCCCAAAATCGCAAAGGAAAGACTGAAAAGTGTCAAAAATGGGTTTGGAACCCGTCTTTAATGAACCTCACTGGTTCAGTGATTTCCGCATCTGCGATCAGGGGACCGCATCTGCGAGAAAAAGGGCCGCATCTGCGAAAATGGGCCAAAGAGCTGGGACCGCATCTGCGGTCTCCAGGCCGCATCTACGGAACCGCATCTGCGGCTTGGGGGCCGCTTCTGCGGTTCCTAGCCTGGCTTACCTGAGCCGCTTCTGCGATGCAAGGACCGCATCTGCGGTCTCGCACCTGCGGTCCAAGAACCGCAGATGCGGTTATGACAGAAGCAGCAATCCTTCAGCCCTTTCTCAAATTTTCCACTTCACTCGAGCCTCGTCCGATTGACGCTCGGGGCTCCCGGGCCCCGCCCGAACATACCGACAAGTCTGAAATCACGAGACGGACCTACTCGAACCTTCGGAACACCCGAAACAATGCTAAATCTAGAATTCACCTCTAAAACCAAATGAATCAAACTTATGAACTTCAAGTTCTTAATTTTCTTCCAACGGGCCAAAACGCCCTAAAACTACTCGGATTGACACCAAATTTTACAAGTAAGTCTTAAATGATATTTCGGACCTATATCGGGCCTCGGAACCAAAATACAAGCCCGATACCTAGGAAATCAATCATTAATTAGTTTCTTTAAATCCTTAAAACTTTAGATTAACATTTATAATAGAAATTCATTACTCGGTCTAGGGACCTCGAAATTCGATTCCGGGCATACGCCCAGCTCGCACATTTTCCTACGGACCCTCCGGGACCGTCAAATCACGACTCCGGGTCCGTTTGCTCAAAATGATGACCAAAGTCAAACTTAGACTTTTAAGAAAACCCTAAGAAATCAAATGGGCATATTTCACCCAAAACTCTTCCAAATCCTGAACCAACCGTCCCCGCAAGTCGTAAATTATCTAAAGCAAGCACGGGAAGTTTTATTTAAGGGAACGGGGTTCAAAAAGGCAAAACGACCAGGCGGATCGTTACATTCTCCACCTCTTAAACAAACGTTCGTCCTCGAACGGGCATAGAAAAGTACCTGATCTGCTGAATAAATGGGGATATTTGCTCCGCATGTCCTCCTCGGACTCCCAGGTCGCCTCCTCGACTGGTTGGCCCCTCCACCGGACCTTTACTGTAGAAATCCTCTTGGATCTCAACTGGCGATCCTTCCTGTCAATAATGGCAACTGGCCCCTCCTCATAACCCAAGCTTTCATCCAGCTGAATAGTACTGAAGTCTAACACATGGGAAAAGTCGGCATGATACTTTTGAAGCATCGACACATGAAAAACCGGATGAACTCCCGACAAGCTGGGGGGTAATGCAAGCTCATAGGCAACCTCCCCAACTCTCCTCAACACCTCAAAGGGGCCAATAAACCTTGGACTCAACTTGCCCTTCTTCCCGAATCTCATAATGCCCTTCATGGGCGAGACTTTCATGAGAACCTTCTCGCCAACCATAAATGATACATCACGCGCCTTCTAATCCGTGTAACTCTTCTATCTGTACTGAGCTGTGCGAAGCCTCTCCTGAATCAACTTCACCTTATCCAAGGCATCCTGTACCAAGTCTGTACCATACAACTTGGCCTCACCAGGCTCGAACCATCCGATAGGAAAACGACAGCGGCGACCATATAGAGCCTCGTATGGAGCCATCTCAATGCTGGACTGATAGCTGTTGTTATATGCAAACTCCGCCAAGGGCAAGAACTGGTCCCACTGCCCTCCAAAGTCAATCACACATGCTCTAAGCATATCCTCTAAAATCTGTACTGTCCGCTCCGACTGCCCGTAGGTCTGAGGATGGAATGTTGTGCTAAGTTCTACCCGGGTCCCCAACTCACTCTGAACGGCTCTCCAGAAATGAGAAGTGAACTGAGGGCCTCTGTCGGATATAATGGAAACAGGCACACCGTGCAATCGGACTATCTCCCGAATATAAATCTGAGCATGCCTCTCTGCTGTATAAGTAGTAGCCACTGGAATGAAGTGGGCCGACTTGGTCAACCTATCAATGATGACCCATACTGAATCAAACTTCCACAAGGTCCGCGGCAACCCAACTACGAAATCCATGGTAATGCGCTCCTACTTCCACTCTGGTATAGGCATCTGCTGAAGTAGGCCACCCGGTCTCTGATGTTCATACTTGACCTGCTGGCAATTCAAACACCTAGCCACATACTCCACTATGTCTTTCTTCATCCTCCACCACCAGTAATGCTGCCTCAAGTCACGATACATTTTTGTAGCCCCCGGGTGGATGGAATACCACGACCTATGTGCCTCCTCTAGTATCCTCTCCCTCAGACCATCGACATTAGGAACACATAGACGACCCTGAAGCCGCAAAACACCATCCTCGCCAATAGAAACTTCCTTGGCACCTCCCTGAAGCACCGTCTCTCTGAGAACTGCCAAATGTGGATCATCGAACTGTCGGGCCTTTATCTCCCCCAGTAATGAAGACTGAGCAACCATACATGCAAGAACCCGGCTGGGCTCCGAAATGTCCAACCTCACTAGTCTGTTAGCCAAGGATTGAATGTCCACAGCTAGTGGCCTCTCCCCTACTGGAATGAATGCCAAA